ATCTTGCGTTACATTCATCTTAAAACACGTTAAAACATCGATTTACGGTGCGCGACATCGAGTTCTTTCCGTCAGTCTGTACTCTCCAGTGTTACTTTACACATCGTTAGATCTAGAGACACGCCGGGAACGCTTGGAACGAGAAGTTCATACGCGAAACTGCCTCTCGCGAAACAATTGTACAATAAACGAGTTCAGCTTCGTGGAACCCCGCTCTCGTTCCGCGCAGTTTCTTTAATTATCCTAAATTATACGCGTCTGCGATCGAGTACCGTGCTCAGAGTGGCACGGGCTCTTGCATCGAGACATCATCGTTAATTACTGTTCGTTGTACTTCACTCCTGCAAGAGACTACGATTGTATCACAGTCTTTGACGAGGTCACATTCGCCGGCGGAACGTGATACATTCCCGAGCGAATATGATAATACGATAGACAGACTTTTATTCACATAAAGGCGACAGGCTAAACGCGAATTGTGTGTCGGGTGGATGATACGCGGTGGAACATCGCTAAGTGTTCACCTTCGGGCGTAGGAAGTGCGCTCGTGAGGTCGGCGTAAGAAAATATACGTCATTCGAAATGATCGGTAAAAGTGAGAGGGAAGCGTGGGGTTGCGGTGCGAGAATAGTTGAAATGTGTTGGCTACTTGTCTACGGATTCCGATACCGGAAGCGAACTTGATCTGCGAGGGGGACAGACCTAAGTGGCGGACGGATGCCCGTGTAAATATGTACATCGTGAAACACGGAGGTTGCTCGTGTTTCTCTTTGAAATACATGTCCCGAGGCATCCCGCTCATTAAAATACAAATTCATAATGAATCACGACATAAATTCGCTAATGTTGCGTGCCGGCTGCGGATGTTTCTGCGAACGTACATTTCCCTGAAGCTAATTTACAACGCGGCTTCGCTGGAAAGTTATTCCCTTTGTGGGGGGTCTTGTTAGAGTTCGAGTTAAAGAAAACTTTCGTCAACTGTCATTGGAAGTTATTCTATTACACGTAAATTGGATAAAACGTGCAATCCAATTATAAGCGAATCAAGCGAGTGAACTTAGTCGAGATCAACAATATTTACATAGTATCCTTGTTAGTGGTAAGAACACGTTAAGCCACGTCGTTTCAGGTTTGTCTAGAGACAGGCGAATTTGCATAAAACCGTGCGTCGCAATTATGAGTCTATATTTCGCTGCGCGAGAGGCCTCCGATCGTGAAACACTTCCAGCCCTTTCCAGTGTTATCCGATCGCTACTTTCTTAACCGTGGGACACGGGCCAGCACTCGCCGGTCATTTAAATAACACATTTTCATGGCGGCAAGGGGGGAGCGGCGCGGAGGGAGACGCCCTTCGCCGGGACACGTATAGGTACATTTACGATTCATGGTGTATGTCACAGCCATAAATATTAATACTCGAATAATTGCCGATACATAGTACAGTTGTAAGTACAAACGTTCACCGGTGAACGCCGATGTTTGGGTTGAGCGACCCCTTTCCCCTAATCGGCGTGGAAGCGGTCGGTCGCGTTTGGCCGTGTAATTAGATCCGTTCGATCGATAAATCGGTAATGGTCCTAGGCTGGAGGAACACTTCGGATTACGTGCAGCGTACGAGACGCGCCATTTACGGACGCGCCATTTGAGGGAACGGAATATCGGGAAGATCATTAGAATCTCGCTAGGAGAAACAGTGGAGGCGTAGAGGACATCTCAAGGATCTTCGATTGAACGTGTGTATGCGTGTGTGTGTGTGTGTGTACCTTCTCGAGCGACGAATCGTTTACGGTGAACGGAAAATCATGAACTACGGGAGAACAATCGAATCTAACAACGGACGCTAATTAAGAAATTGAATCGTAACGAATCGAGGAACAGAACGTAAACACTACGGTTAACGGAAAGGATCGTTGGTTGCATCCACTAAAAATAATGAAAAAATGGACACTTACCTGACGGAAAACGCGTCCGTGTAAAGTAAAGTAAACGATAGAAGGAGAACGGAAAGTTTATTGAAACGAACGGATGGTAATCGTGAAACAGAAATCGGAAACAGCTTCTCGAGGGACACAAAGTGGATTTCTGCACGGGGCACGCGGTGCTCGTGATAAACTTCCTTGGCCATCGAGAAGGCAAACCGGAATTGCGTTTTAATTGACACTGAGGATTGATTGCCCGCGCAATTTTGACGAGGTTACCGTTCTAGCTGTTAGGACATGGTACTCTACTTAAATGTTAATCGGCGTTCGTGTTACATTCTAAGTTACCTGGCGCACGATCGACGACGCTAATCGACAAACGTTCGAGGACCTCGTCGCGACTTCTGCTGGACGTTGGAGAAGTTCATTCTCTATGCGTTACGTTTACGGTTTACCAGTGATCTCTTCTTTATACTTTCTACACAGACAAGCGTATATTTGATTCGACACCATTACTATAATTATCGTTATCGCTACTCGCTATCCTCGCTGATTAACAATGGGCAGATCGGTCGACGTCGACCACGTGGAAACGACGGATACGCGAACGGCTCGATCGGTTCTCTCTCTCTTTGCTCCTCTTTCTTCGAATAATTTAATTGAGCCGCAGTTTTTTTCAAGGATTCTTTCTCCGACTTAACAAAAATACGTCAGTCGCGATGTTTCTTGTGTGTACGATCCGCGACGCGGATGATGTCGTTAATAAGACGGGCTCGTAAATCAAAATCGCCGGATCTGTTCAACTCGATATGTTAATTAAATGCTCGATAACGGAAATTGCCCGCGGCTCGCATCCATCGTCCGCCCCGTCGATACAGGCGAACGGACGATAAATAACGTTTTGCAACTAATACGGTCTACCTATCGAATGTACACCGAGAGCACATGCAGCCGTATCGATCGATGTGTTTTACTTTTTCTTTTCGCTGAGACTCCAGACTGCGTGCTCGCTCGTTCCGCTCGAGCCCGTCCCGTTTCGCGCGTCCGGGCTAGCGATGGGACGAATTCGTGTCGATTGTGATCCGCGTAGAATCAAGCGTTTCTCAAAATCCTTTGTTTCTCCTTTACTTCGAACGTTCGTCTATCTATTCGAGGCACGGATACTTTTACGTTGCAAACTTTTACGCATTGCAGAGACTCTGCGTTTGATGATAACATACGAAATAATTCTAAACTGAGGTTATCGACTACGGATAACAATAAACTGTTCGGTATAGAATGCACGAAGATGCGATATACAACATGTGTTTCGAAAGGAATTAAATTATTCGAATACCAGCTCCCGTTCTAAGAAACAGTAATTGAAAGTAGAACGACCTAGTTACTAGAATCAGCTCCACGAGTTGAGATAAAACGAGTTCCACGGCAATCGAGTTTGAATTTGTTCAATCGCGATCACCGCTCGGATCAGACCCATCGCTAGCAAACTCTCCGCTCGTCCCGTCACGGGCTCGTTCGCGTACATATGCAACATATGTATGTAGGTACACGGGAGTACAGGTTTTCGCGTGGAACGTGCATGCAAATGGATCGCAACTTATCCAGGGGCGTAACAATGATAATCCCCGGCTACTCGCGGCGGACCGAGACATGTTTATCGCGAGGTCACCGGGACCACTGAATCCACGGTATCGCAGGAGTTTGGAAAAAATTGGGCAGGAACTTTCCACTTCCGACATCTTTATTGACCATCAGACCATTCTCCGCTTCGGGGCCGTAAGGTCGACCCGTGTACTCGTTCTCAGCTGCGTCGATTCATTGGAATTGGAACAGGGGAGCAAGGTCGAGGCGAGCGATCCGCCGGCAAAATTACGCCCCTGCCAGCTGTCCACGCGATCGCAGAGAATGGACACAGACGTATCGACGCGCGGGGCGATACGCGTGCATACTATGCGCTGATAGAGAACCGGCACTCAGGACACGAGGAGTCTTTAGTTGTGCATTCTGTTTATGGTACTGACTGATTACCGTGTAACCGTGTCGATAGCACGTCACAGTTGAAAATGCATTTGAGAATTTGCATCTACTCTAATCAGTTATATCAGCGTCCTCTTTAGACGATTTCTTTCTGTCTACGCGTAACGCAAGCCGCGCAATGCGAGTCGCGATTGGCGTATTCGGGTGTACATGCTCTCTCGTGTAAATACCTCGGACATCGATTCGTTTCCTCTAAACGGACACTCGAGACGACTAGTCGATCACATCTGGACTCGCGAATTGCTTCGTCCGACCGAACGCGCGTCCCGTTTCCCCGGCCGCGAACGTTTCGACGGGAATCGAACGATCCCTCGCGGGTCCGCCGATCGAGCAGGACCGATCAATGCGATCAAGCTACGCGGGATTAGATAGGTGGGGTTCGTGTTAAATAAAAATTATACATAATACGATCGTGTCGCTTCGCAGCAGTCTTGGGTGCTCGGCTTCCTCCGTTCCAGTCGACGATCGCGTTGTTACATTTGCTAAAAGGGACGTGCGTCTACGAGGCTGATGCGGAACCGCGATGAAACGGCTGCGGAAACCGTGGAGGGATGGACCTGCCTGAAACGGTGGCGATCTCGGTGATTAATCGCGGCAACGGCAGCAAGAATACTTGTAGTACTTGATCCGACAGAGGCCATTCTTCACTACGAGGTTGCAGTTCGGGTGTTTGTCGTTGCACTGGGCCGTCTCGTAGGCTTCTGAAATCATTCGGCGTTTGTTAGTGCATCGATCGAGGATGTAGAATACGGAGCATAGAATTTTTAGATGCAATCAACCCCTTGCCTCATAATAAGGTGTCAGTCTCGTGGTAAAGATTTCGAATAGAACAAGCATAAATATTACAATACCAGACTCTTCCGAATTCACGTTAAATATTATTCTTCCATTGACAATTGTTACACTTTAGAACAGTAACGTGGACGTGGAATTTATCTAAATTGTCAATGGCAAAACAGGTGTACCGATCATGGTTGAGAAATAAATCATAAGGCAAGGGGTAGAACGTCGGTGCTTACTTTTCGGTGGTTTGCTCGGCGCGGGGGGATCCTTCTTACAAGGATCCGAGTTGCATTGCTGTCTGTCCGCCGGTCTGTCGGCCTCTATGCAATTCGCGGCGGCGACACCCTCGAGGATGCAACGAACCAGTCTGGTCTGCACGCCGGTCCCGCACGTCGCCGAACACTGAAAGCCGTTTTGCAGTATTTACACCAGCGCGGCGCGGCGCACGGGGGGAAAAAAGAATGCCGGGATCCCGACGGGATCGTAAATTTGCGCGCGCGATTTACCTTCGACCAGTCCGAGGTGAACCATTCCGACGGGCACGGGGACGACCTGCACACTTGCTCGTTCGCCGGCCTCGACTCGCTGCAGTTGTTCGCCGGCAACACGACGAACTCGTTGCTCGTCCTCGCGGCGCAAAGGACGTCCCGGTACTGGACACCCACTCCGCACGACACCGAACACTGGAACCACATTCGCGCGACACGCTCATTCCGACAGACCAACCGCTTTCACAGACGCGCGATTCTCATTAATAGACCGCGGATGTTTATGCAGATGCACGCTCACGCGGTTGAGCGACGAGAGTCCTATGTAAAATAGAACTCTTTTCTCATGTAATAATATCAACGGATTAATTTCATATAGAATTACCGTAAGATTTATCATTGAATAAAGATCCTCGGTCTAGGCGTAACGGTTGTTCAGCAGGGGATTAGGAGTACTTAGAACTTACAGATTACAAGAACCGTTCGATTGGTAAAAAGAATGGTTCGATCGACTAGAAACGAGAGACCCAACAACTTTTATGCGACCGAAACAAAGCAGAGATAGAATCTATTTTAGTGATTTTCTACTAACGAATGTCCACGGGCCGGCGAACCACTTGGCGCTATCGCAGCTCGCTTCTCGGCCGAAGCACTGCCGCTCCGTTTCCGGTCTCTCTTTGGGATTGCAAAACAGCTCGCTGCCATCGGCGCACGCCACTTGCCTCGTCTCTACTCCTCTGCCACACTCCGCGGAGCACTGTAACAGCGGCCGAACCGAAGGAATCGTTTAAACCAAGACGCGTCATCGCTTACCTATCGTCGCGCTTACCTTGGACGACCAGTCCGAGTGCAACCAAGGAGCCCGTTGCTCAGCGCCGTTGCGCGGACACGGCGCGGACTCGCAGACCTTCTCGGATTCGGGCTTGGTGAACGACGGACAGGACTTGCCCGAAGTGATGCACGTGACCGTTCGGTTCCGCACTCCCGGCCCGCAAGTCGTCGAGCACTACGATCGCAAAAAGCCGTTGTATCTCGAGGAGCAGCGCATCTTCGGTCGAGCGGAGCCGCTCGAGGACGTTCACACGAGCGGTCTACGACTATTAAACGGCGATGAAAAACAAGATCCACTTACCGGGCCCCATGCGCCGGCGTCCCATCTGGGTGTGTCGTGCTGGGAGTGCATGTGCCTCAATTCCGGGCCGAGCGTGCAGGCTGGTTTCGTACAGGTCTCCACGGTTCTCAGGTCCGGCGGTTGGACGCACGCACCGGCGGCCACTCGCATTGTCAGGTTCGCGTTCAGTTCCTGCACACACTCCAATTTTCGTGTCCTGGTACCGGCGCCGCAGCTGACCGAGCACTCGCTCCACGGTTCCGCCCTCCATCTAAAACCGGCACCGGTACCAGCCCGTTAATTCAACGGAACGATAATTCGCGGGGCCGCGTCGGGGAATATACCGCTGGGAATTACCTGGCGAGGCAGGGGTGGTCGTTGCAACGCAACGGGGGCGGCTGCTGCGGCTTTCCCACGTTGCGGCACCGTCTCTCGTTCACGATCATCTGGTTCGCCTCGCGAACGCACTTTAAGATCGCGCTTTGGATCCCTGCAGCAGTTACGAGAGCTTTGCTAAGTTCGGCGGATAACGTGGACAATGGATTTGAGAAACTTCGGGGCTCCTTTAGAAAGAAGTTTGTTTGCCAGTCTAGGTTATTGCGAGGGTATTAAGACGTTCAGGCTATTTCGGCTCGGGTTTATGGGGAAACGAAGAGTTCCTCGGGCGCAGTGAGAGAAACTTTTTTCTAAGGATTATACAGTGGCGTTCTACTGGTTCCGACGGAAGTTCCATTGTACCCTTTCACGGTCTTTCAAGCTGCACCTTGTGCGAGCTCGAGGGCCAATTAACGACGAAGGAGAAGAGAGATCCCGAGGAATTAAGTTGACAGTGACATGCCGGGACGACGTTATCTGCGCTCGCCCGTATGAGCTGTCAGTCAAAATGAAGCGGAATCTCGGCAGCTCTCTTCGCGGGGCGGCGGTTGAACAGGGTCGCGTGCAACAATTCAGGCGTCGCGGAGAGAGACGTCCAATGGAAAATAATAACGTGGGACGCGCGCGGATGTGGGGCTTCCTGCTAATAAATTTCGTGAATTGGATGGAACTTCCGTGACGGCGGCGGCGGCCGAATCGAGCCTCGTAATCTCTCACGGCCCTCCAAACTCGGCGATAATGCCGAAACGAACGCTTCCCACGCGCGATACTCGATTACACCCAGACAGACCCCCTAACCATCTGCCTGCTTCTAGGATGAGCGTCAATTGTCTACGCGCTCTTTTTTCCCTAATTGCCCGCTTAATTACCGTGCCCGAAAAATCGGGGTCGCAGCCGGAGCGTGTGGGTCGTGGCGCCGTCGATCGCGAGCGAGTAGAAAATGGGCGTTCCAATGGAATCTAACCTCACCGATGTTCTTTTGCAATTCGGACCTTGATTGTGAGCTGTCGTTCGTTCGTTCGACGGGAGATTCTGCGGAGCGATCTTGGATTCTTTTAGGATTCGAGTAGATTCGAGTTTGAAGGCTTTATCTAAACAACCGATAATATAATCTGAATTTCGTCATATCGTATTAAGATCTGAGAAATTTTATCAAAGGTCCTTTTTGCTATTGGTTCTTCGAAAATGAAGGTTCAAGTTCGCGAGATCCTTTGAGGATTGACGTCTCGAGCTATCAGAATCCGCCATCGTTCCGTCGGTTTCTCCCGATTCACCGATCCGCTATCGCCATCGCCGATCGCGGGGCACTTTCCTCCGAAGATGAAGACATTCGAAAAAAAGTGAGCGCGCGTCGATGATCGCGAAGAATGCCTCGAAGCGAGCGTAAAAGCCGTCGCTGCGGGGATCAGGAGGTGCTACTTCGCGAAGAATAGGCGTGCCCCGTACCTCCGCCGCATTCCTTGGAACAAGGGGTCAGCCCAAACACCTTCCAAGCGAACTTCAATCGCTTCTTCTTTTTGGCCTTCGACTTTGGTTGATCGCCGGCCATCACGGTGGTCGGCTGACGCTTCATCTCTTCCTTCCGTGGTTTGTCGCGCGGCCGCGGTCGGCTCTGCTCGTGATTTGTCGTTGATAAATCGACTCTCTGATTGGATCTGGAAAAGCGAGGTATCTGTACGAAGACGAATCGCGCGGGTCCCATTCTGTACGGTATTTGATTATTTTTCTGTATTTTCTGTCTCTGTTCGTTTTCTCTGTTCATTGTTATTCTGTTATTTTATTTTTTATTTTTTTGTATCGTGCAACGGGACAAGCACAGTCTCGCGCAGTCCGGCTCGACAGTATTTAATCTCCGCGGGGGGAAGAGGCAAGCTGCATATGCTGTTCTGTGGTATATTTACATTCTGGTCGCGGGTACCGTCGAAACGACGCTAGCATCCGAATCAGGTATTTCGTTGCCACGATCGATCGATCCTGCAACAAAGATGGAGAAAGCAACAAATCACTCGCCGGTTGTTCGCGCGTTTCCCATTTACATGTGAGTCATGGCGCGCGCGGCCATAAACCGCTGTTGCGCAAGGAACCGCGCGCGGATATAACCGTAGACAATCGTCAGCCGGCGTGAAAAATGCATTCGATTAAGCGGCGGCTTGCCGCGCGCCGGCGAAAATGGTTACCTGTCGCGATGAGGGGCGGCGCTATCAGCGGCCTCCCGTTCGGCGTCTCCTTTAACGGCAACATGTACTTGTAAAGCACTCCGGGGTTCATTTCCTGCGCCAGGATCTGGGGGAACAAATTCGAAAAGATACAATACCATTCGGCCACGATGTATATGACGTTGCTGGAAACGGACAATGGGAGATCCCGGAGTCGTGGGGGTATCGACACGACTCTCGACGTTGCGAGAAATGAAAAAAGAAACGCGCCGGGGAATGAAAGAATGAACGGGAGAAAGAAAAGGACAATTAACGCGTTGACTGCCACGAGGTTCTTCGGCGTTTCGTGCATCGCTTATTCTTTCGTAGCGAGGATGCGTAGACGAAATTATTACTCGTTTAACATCATGATTCTGAGGTTATACTATTATCTACAGTTACGTTATTAAATGTTATCAATCGACGACATCGCAATTGTTCTCGAGCGATTCGAAGCATCGGTGATGGATGCCAGTGGCAGTCAACGTTTTAAAGAAGGGAAGAAAAAATACCAGCGGTTCACATATGTCCCGAAAGAGAGATATCAGAGGTTTCTTTACGAGCGTACCTCTAACTGCAAAGAATCGTTCAGCGGCCCGGTTGCCAAGATGCACTCCACGCGGCTTCTGTCACCCCTCTGGTATGTTAATGTCGTGCCAGCCGCTTTATAAGTGCCGCTCGGACTGTAAGCCAACGGCCCATTCAGGATGTAACTACCGTTGCTGTCTCTCAACGCTAAACAGATCGGATCGATCGTTAGAAGAAAACGTGACCGTGCCGTGAGCGCGACACGCGCGCCGCACACCACACTCCTATCTCTCTCATCTCTCTCTCTCTCTCTCGCTCTCTTTTTCTCTCTCTCTATCATTCTATCTCTCTCGCGATCGCCTACCCAAGAAATTGCTACTGAACCGAAGTTCGGAGATGTTGAGAGACATGGCTCCCTTCGGTATGGTGGTCACGGGTTGATGACCCCTGGGCAGGATTGGTTCCATAAAAATACCCTCGTACAGCCGACAACCTTTACCCTGACCACCGCAGACACCACAAGCGTCCGTCGTCACTCCGGACCCTACCACACCGTCGCAGCCTACAGGCTTGAACAAAGGAAAAAAAACCGTTTTTAAATGACGCACGCATTCGAGGTTACAGCTGTCTCGTTTATTCAAATTATCGAGACGGGGTATCGACGCTGATCGACGATTCATTGGAAGCCTTTAAAAATTCAGCATCGTGGGCTCTAAGTCAGCGAATAGGTTTCTCATACTCTTTCTTCCTCGCTGAACGGATGCGAAACTGTCTCCACCAGTTCTTGGAGTTGCTCTAATATCTGTCGTTCTAAAAAGAATTTTCCAGTAAAGATTCTTTAGCATTCTATCGATTTCAAACTAGCTTCAACTCTAGCCGACAGACAGCTCATGCTGCGGCCCAGTCCGCGAAGCCGGTCCCAAGAAGTAGTGGGGCAAGCCGCAGCTAAAGCCGGGCAAAAATGGCGGATGGTTAAGCGGGGACTGGCGCGGACAAAAGGAAGGATCAGCGCAAAAAGAGGGAAGAGATCCGGGGAACAAAAGGGAATGGCCAGCCGTGTGGCGACCGGGCGAGGTGTAATTAAAAACACGTGAAACGGCGGGAACTGGCGTGCGGGAAAGGGAAAAAAGAGCATCGCGGGCGAGCAGCGTCGATCGTATCGGGGTTGAATCGTGATCAATTTCCGGCGGGGTGTTTCGTTGATCGTACCTTGCATTGTCCGGCGACACAGAGCCACCGGTCGGTGCGCTCCATAGAAATTCCCGCATTATGTCCACGAAGATTCGGAGCGTCGCAGGGTGTGCCGTCCATTACTGCCGGTTCAAGCGTTGCGTAAAAACGCTCGCCGACGGCACGGCAATTGAGCGCGCAAGAGTTCGGCGCTGGACAACAGTAATTACGGTTAAGAACGCGCAGCGGTCATTTTCGGGGGACAAGTAACATTCAAGGGAACAGTTAGACCGAACGCACACGAGCAATTCGGGGGATATGTCGAGTCAGTTGTCGTTTCGGAATACGGGAGAAATAAAGTTCTATCTCATGGAAACAAGGACAAGAAGACGTTTGTATTATTCCAAAATAACACGTCGCTCGTGTGCGCATAGCCTCGGTCCGAGCAAACCGACGTCTACCGAAGTAGAACTCGCGCGGCAATCTTCGAACTTCGTTGACGTACGCGTTGGGAATCGAGTTTCCGAGTTCGAAGTGATATTGTTCGTTAGCTCCGCGTTTATGGAATCAGGGATCGCCGATGCTGAAGTCGTTCGGTCACTCTGAATGAACTCCGGCATAATTGCGAGGAGCGAGGCGTTTTCGTGGCGAACCGCGGTAATTACAACGTCACGTTTAAACGTCAGGCCGTCGACGGAACACTGGGAGCTCGGGGAACTCTCAGAGTGGCTTTAACTCACCGTCCAGGAACGGAACCCAATCGTAGCTCTCGCCCTTGTAGTTTCTTCCGTTGTACTTGGCACATTGTTCCGCCCGCAAATCCTCCGGGAAGTTCGGGCATTTCTGTCACCAGTAACGGCTTAATTAAACTCTCGGTTATTACGACGGAAAGTCGTTACGCCCGCGCTAACCCGCCACGGACCTGCACCGCGATAGTCGATCGCGACGCGTTTTTCCCGCGGAACGTTACGAGTCCACGCTGCCGAACTTTCGACGGCTACGAGCGCTCGGCTGCGGGACACGGCGCGGAGGATCGTTATCCTCGTAATTTCCGAGTGGAAGATTAATTACGGATCGGCGAATCCGTGAATAGGCTCCGCGCGTTGGTAAACCGACGAGATCTTTTTAATGTAAATTGAAACGCAGCTTTTAATACCGCTTTTTCTGTCCTTTCTTTCGCCTTCGCATTCATCAACTTTAGGTTTCCCCTTTTTTCGAATCAGATTTTAAAACAACCCCCGACGGTGCGTTGCGCTTTCACAATGTTACGGAGACTATGTTGAAATGTTTAATTGAAGGGGTTACTTTTGAATAGGGCTAGCGACACGAGTGCGTTTAGAGATAAATTGTATTTAATTTTTGAAGCGAATGAATCCCGATTACTGCAAACGTTCGCTCATAAAAGAATAGTCCGCGGATTCTGGAACGCGACAGCGTATCCAACGCCCATTGGAGAAGCGTGGATTTTCAATTCTGTCCCTGTTCGGAACGATTCGATCACGTTCGAGAGCGTTTGATTCCACTGCGCCCGGTTCAAAGGAATTCGATCAGTTTTCGCAAAGAGCGAGCGGCTGCGATTCGAAACGTTTCGAGAACAATCCGGAAGCGTAGCGTCCGCGGGTCGGGCGGATACCGCGACGGCGCCTTCGAGTCTAAGAAGAGAAGATTTAATTGCCAGCGGCGGGAACCTTCGGCAAAAGGGCAGAGCTTGTCGCGAGCGAGTCTACGGCTTCGCAGGTGATCATTCTTATGAATTTTAAACACTCGTCTAACAGCCGTCACCCGGATCCTTAATTGGCCTGCGCGACGATTTGTTCGCGTCACGATTTCTGACGACTCCGATGGAAAGAATCACCTCGTTAATCGGTGGAACGTGTCCCACGCCGTTTAGCTGAAGCAATCGTAACGTTTGTACTCGAGTTTGCCGGATCAACGCTAGCTCTAAGTTATCGCGAGACACGGAATCCTTTCTACTGTTGCCCACGGAATTTCCGTAGTAGCACGGAAGACTCAAACGACAAGATCGGGAGCGCTCGTTCGTTGTTGAATATTCAAGGGACAAGCTCGAGCATCGTGTTCGTCGGGCCGTTCGGCGCGTAGCGGCACGCCCGCTAATTATCTTCTGCGACGATTCGAACAAAGTCCGCGAGCCGTCACTAACGAAGTACAAACGTTAATCTATCACGCTGCCCGGACAGGAAACGAACGCGTAAACATCAAGCCGGGCCTCGCGTGTCCCGTTGATTTACCTGCGTGTTGCACGTGTGGTACCGCTTGTACGTGCCGATGCAAATAGGCCGCGAGGTGCTCGTCCGGTTCCCCGAGATGACGCTCCTCTTCCTCAGCAGCCTCCTGAAACAAATCGTTCGCGTTAGCGCCGACCATTCCGAGATCGATCCATTCCGGATCACCTGTTCCCCTTTCTGTGTTTGGTAACGAACACATAAGCGGAAGCCTGATTTTCTCCGGCAACGATCGAAGCAGTATTGAATCAACGTACACATTCTTGACTGCCATAGACGCATGAGTATCTGCGGATAGTAGAAAATAACGTTTCACCGATTACTCTCGCAATTTATTCAATGGACACAAGTTGCTTTCGAAATCCGCGACGAGCACCCGCGGTAAAGTGCATTGTCAACAGCGAGTTGACGCGGCAGCTACAAGATTAGATACGGAAGAGCAAATACACGACGTAAAGGTTAAAACACCTTGTCGCCGGCAGGCTAGACAAGCGGCGCGTTCAGTAGTCCGTCCCGGAATCGATCAGGCGAGCGAAGACATCGGCGAGCGTCGCTACTGAGACTATTCGATTTGTCCGAGAGGCCCGTGCACGAGCGAGCGTCTCTCGCGGGACACGCGGGAAAGACTATACGCATCGGTTGTCGTTGGCGGAGCGAAAGGCGCGTAGACGGCGCGCGTTTATTATACTCGAAGGACCAAGACGGAGGGGAAAAAAGAAATAATAAACGCTGGTAACGGTACAGGGGTCTCAATCTATTTTATCGTCGACACGGCCGCTCCTGGCCCACCGATAAATCCTGCGTGGAGCCACCGTAACCGCGCAGGTAGCGTTACAAAGGTGTAAATGTCAGCGACGATAACACGTTTCGGGGCCGGCCGAGTAAGCGTCCGCGTCTTCGGCACGCCAGCGTGTAATCTTCCGCTGCTACCGATCCGCAATTTGCTCTCCCGATACACGTCAGGCTGGCAGGTGGTACGAACGGCTCTGAGAATCACGGGACGCGAGGGACCGATCGAGTGATGCATGTAACCTTCGCCTCTCTCGTCTGTGCCGACCACCGACAAGTTAAAAGCGCACAGAACCACGGGAAACCGTCTACGCGCAATGCTCCGTTGCGTAGTTGCAACAGTGATGCCTGGCTGTTCAAAGATTCTGGTTATTGGTCCAGTCGCGTAACAAAGAACGCGAGCGAAATCAAAGATGATAAAGAGATATGACGATCCACTTGGACGTGAATGTTCTTGACGTTGTCGCTTTCCGTTTCATTCGCGTTCTTCGTTCAATAACGAGACCGGAGCATTGCGAGCGAACGAATAGGCGGCCAAGACGTGAGAGATCTGTGGTACGCGATGTTGGGTTTCGCGAATTGCTGTCTGCTTCTGGTCGCAGCTCGTGTAGGTGTTACTAGGATCGGTTGGCTCGTTCGTGGAAATAGCCAACGGTGGCCTTTGATCACGAAGAACGTTAACGGTACAGCGGTGCCTGTGATTATTAACGGAATCTATGCTAAATTACTCGGTTTTGCTCGTCCAGCAACGATTTAAGGGTATTACTCCGATGGTTCTTGAAGTCTTCATAACTTCCGAGATGCGGAAGATTAAATGAGATTTAATGTCTGAGCTGTAGTTGGCTTAGACATATAGATGATTTGAATGGTATTCGGTGGTATTCGAAAACTGTCGATTCAAAGGCTGTGGTATGGTGAAACTTCGACTTTGTGTTTCAATTAGATTTCACGAAGCCAAACGATAAAGACGTTACTATAATAGAGTGCTCAATTAGCGGTTTCAATAGGCCTACTAAGAGGCTAAAAAATCCCATTAACATTTATTACCGATTCAACTACCTGCATCCAATTCTAGAAACTCCTGAACTTTGCAACGTATTTACGAACAAGGTGTACGTCTACACGTACAAACGTGTATACAAATATCTCGTTCAGGGTACTTAATATTATAATAGGATCAGACACACGAGGAGGATCCGGTATCAACTGTATGAGATAGGCTAACGGAAACTTTAAAGAAATAACTCCCTTCTTTCTACCGCTTTATGACACTTAATTGCAAAAGCCAGTTAATAATTGCCCATTACATCTTACAAAAGAAACTTTATCGTTCTACTTACTGATAGGGCACGCATTCGCGGGACTGCGATTGGATGCCGGTGCCACAGGTCCTGGAACAGTCGCTCCAAGGTGTCCATGGTCCCCAGGTTCCCCTGACGCGGTTATCTCGACCAAGACCGAACTGGGACTTCTCCCGCAGCATATGGTACACCTGAAAATCAATAGCGACAACATGTCCAGCCACCAATAACCACGTAAGTAATCTTTCTTCGACAGAAATCAGCGTCGAGCGTAGTCGAAGCAAAGCAATTCACGCGAACGGTTTCGCGTTACGCGTTGAAGGCTTCAGCTCAAACGTTCATTACGCATCGTTATTCATTGTCTCGGACTCCGGAAGAGCGGAAGGGCGAATTCGAGACATTACGTAATCACGCACGCCTGGCCCATAATTAACTTCATTAGGCGTTCCTTTGGCTCGCCGGATTAATCAATCAGGAGGCGGCGAACGAAATTGCGCCCGCTGACGATAATCAAATGCCCGATCCTCGTACCGGTAATCCGGTCGCGTTAATTACACGATAGACAGGGGCACAGGCAGAGGGGGAGAGAGAGACGCACGCATTACCTGCTGATACATCTCCGGATACAAACTGTTTGTTTCACAATTAATATCGAGTACTTCCGCGATATCGGAGCTCTAATTAGATCACTCGCGACGCGATATTGCGACGTGTCAATCGTTCCCGTAATTAATTGAAAGATGATTCCGTGCACAGTATCAAGCAGCGCGCGACTAATTTTATCGATCACGATTAATTACGCCCGGAAAATCGTATCGCGAGGCCTCTCGTGTTTGAAAGTGAAATACTCCTTGCGGCGGGCGCGCTGAAAACGCGAGATGCTGAAGAGATTAAAAGAGGTAAAACGCGGAAGGTCAACGTGCCGCAGTTAACGACGGAAAGGAAACATCGCGCTTCTGCCGACGTGTTCCCGGGTCCTGAGGTATCTGGAGCTGTCGCGATTGGCTCCGGAGCGGTGCGAGCTCCGTTGAATTCGAAATTCGAGCGGCTCCCGGGGAGCCGTTAACTCGCGGAAACACTGTGTAATGCTTCCGTAATGCCAGGCATTAGCCCCGGCACGTTAATCGCGCGCGAACCCTTTCCCCTCGCAGTGTACACACCGCGAAAACACTTTGCGAAGGGGATACGGACCGTCGCTCGTCAGACCCGCGCTACATGGCTGAATAATGGAGCCGCGTTTCAGGATTCTTCTTTCCCCGTCCCTGCGCTCTTAATCTTACGGCTGCGAGAGCTGCCCGGGGAATTCCGCTCGGTGAAAAGGTTTTTTCAGTGGGAAATTTCAACGGTACTCGAACGTTCGTTGATTCCGAAAAACCGGGAGAAATCTTTCTCTCGTTACCGGAGGAAATATGAGTTTCTTTGAAGATATAACGTTGACGTACGAAGTAGATACTCGTATTTATGTTCTAGGAAAATGCTAGCAGACATTTCAGGACACCGAGGGGCCGTTGTTTTATTTCATTTATACTATTATTTATTGCGGACAGAAGCACAGTCGAACAATGCGATATCGAGCCCGTTAAAATCGCGAATGCCTCGTTAGAAAGCCGCAGCGATTGTTATCGAAGCTTACAATTAACGAGAACAACCGTTCAAAAGCGAGTTCCGATCGATAGCCGCTGTTATCTCGATTGGGTTCAACAGGTTGCCGCGAAATCATCGATGACCCGATACTCGTCGACGGGTTTCGCGAGCAGAACCGGTCGCGAAACGTCCTCCGCGGCGCCCGGAAGATTGAGAGATCGTTCGTGAACAATTAGACACGCGCGGTTCGTTAAGATGCTAATACACGGATAAAGGGACACGTTATACGCGGCCATCAACGAGGAACACGCCGCGTTTTCACGAGCCGGGACACGCTGGTAGGCGAGCCCGGCCCCGCGATATCGCAATATTTCTCAAAACAAACGATCCATTTAAACGCGCTAGAAGCGCGGTTCGCCGGGCGAGCTCGCAGCACGCTCGAATGTTTGCGCGCCGCGTTGATCGCCTACGACTCCGTCCTTGGTCGCGCAGCCTGCATCCTCGGATGTAATTTAGGAAGCTCCAACAGTGTCAATTAATTATCCACCGCGTGCCACCCAAGAATAACGTCCACGTAATTGCTTATTAATTCCTGTAAGTGGATTAAATTAATATGCACCGGGTCCCCGTCCCGGGCCGTACGTTCGAGGCAAAATATCTTAATGGACACGATAGCTACGATAACGTTATTACGGCCGTAAGTTAACCGGCAAGGAGTTACGTATCAGATTACCCTGAAAATCCGACGAGCTACCAGGCTTAATGAACATATCCCCGTCCGGAAAGCCGATACTTTTCGCGTATCGATGTCGAGGCCGGAGGGCCACGACTCTTCACGTTTTCAAACTGTCGGCGAAGTTTTCTTTCGGATCAGGAACGCGGGACCGCCCTGTCCATTCGACGTAGCACTCGGGGCTTGTGTAAACAGGGATCGACGAAAAGTGTGGCGGGATTTAGAAAGAAAAACACGCGCGCTTTTTATGGCCGACAGATGTTGACAGAAGCGACAGTCTTCTTAGCTGCGACATCTCATTAAATCCGACGAGTCCCCTTCGTGATATTTATAAGAAAGATACAACGAATAGCAATCACGACGTGTATGAAAACGAACTAGACAATCTTCTTGAAATCAGGGTCTTCATAAACATCCGATTCCAGTAGCGAACGCGTTAATGCGGCTCGTCCATTCGAACGATCGGATAGAGCTACGATCACTTCGGAGAAACAAGATTCAGATCAAAGAGGAGAACGAAGAAGGGGGGAGAAGATATCGGCGGAAGATAACACGGTGGGATCTATAGAATCAACGGCAATGGAATACGAGACTAATGCTCGGAGGAAAGCGGAATTAGCTCGGAAGATCGTGTGACCGATGTTATCTGAAACAGCCACGACGGAAACTCACCTCGATGGGATACTTGTCGGGCACGTGGGTACTGGATACGGTGGCCGCGGTGAGCATTGTCAAAGCTAGAATCGATCTGAAACAGAGATAGCAGAGAGATGCCTTAATTAATCCGACGTAAATGGAATGCAATTTATTATCATCGTTGTCAATCTGCGGCCGGTTTTCGCGACCGTCCGGCCGACCGTTGAACCGAGCCAATTATCCCGTTATCGCGGCAAATATCTGTCTTTCGGCGCGGAGCGGGGATAGACATTTCAAGAATGCGATAATCTTCCACGGATGAGTAACGACGCGGGCGTAGCGATCGGTTACAGGCCCGTTGCACCGGATAATTTTCGTCCGCCGGCTCCCCGGTATCGATTAATGGATCCCAGAGATAGCGCGGACCTTTGGAATATTCTCGGAAACGAGATCAAGGGCCTGGAACGTCGTGTGTTGTCGTTGGAACTCCGCGGACGGCCGCGCAGTGTAAACTTTAAACGAGACGAATAGCCGAGCATGTGTTCTCGATCAACCTGTCCCCGGATAATCGGATAATCGCCGCCATAGATTTCGCGAGTTCTCGATTTTCCACGACGCGGATCGCGTGCACGCATGTTCTAGGTGCGGCGAGCCGCGGCAGGCGCCAGCCCGTTTCGCCACGGCGATTATTAAAACTGCACCGGGGATGCGTCTGTGTTGGCATAGAGGAGAAGAGATAAGGGATCGGGGAGACAGCGAGAGACAGAGAGAAAGAGGGATAGACAGGATGGCCGGGGGGAGCTGGCTATGACGTTGGCTCAAGTAAACTGTGCCACTAAGCACTAATAACGTTTCACTTGTTGCGTTTTCTCGGAAAGCTTAAT